TTAAAATAAAATATTTATTAAAACCAATATTTTTATAATAAAATTTATAATAAATTTTAAGTAAAAATCAAAAAAAAATTGATAGGTTAAATAATAAAAATTTATGTTAAAAATTAATTAAAGTTGTTTAAAATTGCAGGCAAATTTGCTTGCAATTTTTTACCATTAAAGGGATATGATTTTTTATTTTGTAAAATATACCCATTTTCACTAGTATACTTCTGACCACATAATAGGCAGTATGATGGAGAGTTGTGAGATAATAGGAACAAATGTGAAGTGTTATCTGAAGGGAATAAAAAAGTATACCCTTCAATAGAATTATTTCTAAGTAAGAATTCCACAAAATCAAATTCTGCCTGAATAGTTTTCTTATTATTTGTATCATTATACTTTTTTTACTTCTAGCTCTGAAATAATCAAGAGAGGACTATTCTTGATAATTTCTGATTCATTATTGGATAGAAGGATCATGAAATTAAAGACAAATTCATCTTTTAGATATATGGTTTTTTTCATATGAACACATTCTCTATTATCCTTTTTAAACTTGGATAAACTAAGCATTCACAAGAAAAGTAATCATTTGTTTGCTATGTTGTTTAAAATATCTTTATTCTGTAATCCTACTAGGAGTTTTTTACGAATAAGCTCAGTAAATACTGCAATCTGAGTAATATTTAAAAGCCTCATGTCATAAGTAGAAATATAATATGATATTTTTTGCAGCAGTACTACTGATAATGGTTATAGTTTTAGGATCCCATTTTAGGAATATCTATAAACATGTATTTTTAAAAGTAAGAATAAGTGAATCTAATACCTCTTTACGTATTAGCTTAGGTTCAATAGTATTAAACAATTCTTGTGGTAAATCAAAATCTATAATAGGCTAGAATGACTTATTTTTATTAATAAATTCATGTAATGAATAGCCTTCATGATCTGAGATGAGAGTATAGCTTTTATTTTATTTGCATTGTCTTCGCCAAGAAAATGTCTTAGTCTAATACTATTATCACGAATTTTGTATAAATATACATCTATATTAGAGGTTTTGAACCCACAATAGTACAAGGCAGGGGTGTTGAGAAACTCTAAAAGCTCTGATTGGATCATGATGTTATATCACAAATATATAGTTTGAGAGAAACTATATACTTTAGAAGAAAAAAGGTTAAAATGAAAATTAATTTTGAAATATATAAATCGATATATAAAACAACTATATATAGTTATTAAAAAATGGCATTATATTTATGTTTATATATTCTTAGGACTGGAGAAGTTTATAATCAGGGATGCTATCTCCCTCATATAGTGGCGCTCAAAAGTATTGCATCACCTGAATACAAATTTTAAAATGGTTTTTTCTTGTTATTAAGGCGACGCAGTGTCATATAAATTATTTATTAGACTTATTATAATCAAATCTATTCAATATATGAAAATCAGTTTATAGTAATGAGATAAATTTTTAAAAAATATTTATTTTTGAACAATTAGGCAATCCTTTTCTTTTGATCGTTTTTTTATTAAATTTTTTAAGTATATAAAAAAAAATAAAATCTAACCAACTTATTAAAAACTTTGGTAAATAATTATTTACTATTTTGTATAGCCGTCATTAGCTCTAATTATATCATTTATACGAGTTGGCATAGTATCAACTAACTTTTTGCATACATTAGAACCCAACTCAATCCAAATTTTTGAATTGCATCCCATAACTGATTCTGTATTCTAACAGGTATTCTAAGCTGTCTCAAACGACAATCCATTTCATTCCAAAGGTGTTTTATGGGATTTAAGTCAGAGGATTGTGCTGGCCAATCAAGAACTTTAATCCTATTATCTTCAAACTATTGCTTTGTAAGATGTGCAGTGTGTTTAGGATCATTATCCTGTTGAAAAAATAATATTTCTTTATCCATTTCATGCCATGCGATAGTTTCCAATAGGTCTTCCTTTAAAATTTTGTGATATAAATCACCATTCATATGTCTATAAATTCAGCATATATTACCAACCCCATCAGATGTAAAGCATTCCCACACCATAATATTATCCTATCCAAATTTGACTGTTGGTTTAACATGATGATTGCATAATAGTTCTCCTGGCTTTTTCCAACAATACTCTCTACCATCTGCTCCATAAATCATAAATTTTGACTCATTTGACCAAACCACTTTACTCCAATCTTCAACTGTTCATAACTTGTATTTTTTTGCAAATTTCATCCTTGCGATTCTATATGTTTTTCAAAGATATGGTTTTTTGTACTTAACCCTTGCACTCATTCCATTTCTATGTAAGGTTCTCTTTACTGTACATTCACTAACTTCAATTTGTTCTTCTATTTTTAATTTTTTTTGAATTGCAACAGCATTGCTACATTCACCTGTTGTAATTAATCTCAAAACTTTTCACTCATATCGACCAGTTAAGAGTCGCGGACGCTCAGATTTAGGTTTATTTTTATTGTTACCAGTTTTATCTTTATGTTGCTTGGTTCTTATAACAGTTGATTGAGAAACATTTTCCTTGTCTATTATATAGCAAGAGGGAAAACCTTCATCAAATAAGGTATAAATCCTAGCTCTTTTTTTAACAGAAAGATAAACCATAGATATTTTATAAAATTACAAAGAGGCGAAAAATGCCATAAGGCATCTTTTTTATATGTATCGCATAGTTGTTTTGAAGCAAAAAAAAAATCGCGTAATAAGTGTTGATATTTATTTCTTAAATCTATCAAAAGAAATGCATCGCCACTTTAGCGAAAGATTCATAATAAAAAAATATATATATATATTCTTGAAAAAAAAGATGAAAGAGATTGATAAAATTAAGGTATGACGAACTCTATATTTAAGTTTTGTAACACTGTGCCTTTTAAATTACAAGATATTTCCATTTTAAATTTTGTATTCGGGTGATGCAATACTTTTGATCGCCACTGTATCCTGCATAATATTTACGTTTTTGTAAAAGAAAGGAATGGAATATATTATTAAATTAATAAACTAATTCATTAAATATTTATTTTTACAAAAAAAAGAAGGATCTAATGTACCAAACAATAAAGAATTGCATCAGTAATTAATCACAAAAATTTGGTCGGATAAATCCGAAGAATAAAATACTGTAGATTGTTCATTACAGTATTTAGAGGAAAAAGTTTATTATTTCCGTAAACAAATTCTAAGTTGCAGATAGGAATAAAGTTTTCTCCGAAGAGTAAGGATATATTTGTATTTTGTGCGTGCGTCAGGCGTGTTGCCGACGGGATACTAAATATAGAAATGATAAAAGATGATCATCAGTAATATCAGTAATGCTGCCCAGACGTTATAACAATGGACCGGTAATTTAGGCCAGTTGACATCTGACGCATGACGCACAACATATATATATATATGTATTTATGTAGTTTTTTGGAACTATTTTTTTTATAAAAAAAAAAAATTAAGTTATGATTTCTTTGAATTATTTTTCTTTTAAGTCAATTTTACATCTTTTTTATGTCTTAACGTTAGGAATTTTTATAAATGAAGTCAAGTCATTTATTCCTGCAGAACAATATGGTCAATCATCAGTTCTTGTAGGAACGAAACTTTATTTTTTCGGTGGAAACCGCGGTTTTACTCTTCTTTCAAATGAAGTATTTTATCTCGATGTATCTCAATCTTTCACTTCAGAAATTCCACCATGGGTTGACCTGACTTCATCAGCAGCAATTCCATTCGGAAGTTCAGCCGCTGCAGTTTCATTAAGCGGTACTAAAGATAATCCAAATATTTATTTAATTGGTGGATTAATGAATTATAGTAGTGTAAATTCGCCTAAATCATTGTTACATTCATTTAATACTCAAACACTTAAATGGGATATACCTGATATTAAAGGCAAAGTACCAAAAGCTCGCATGCTTATGAAAGCAGTTAATGATAATTCTGGAAAATTTTATATTTTTGGAGGATATGATTATGATGGTGACATATCATTGAATGATATGATTATTATCGATACAAATATTTTAACTTATTCAAGTGGAACTACCGTTAACGCTCCCACGGGTCTAAATTCTTATTCAGCAACTTTATTATCAAATGGTAAGATTGTATATATAGGAGGACTTAATATAGGAGAAATTAATGGTATCAAAATTGTAGACATTGCCGAAATTTATCTTTATGATACAAAGTCGGACCGTTGGGAAGTGATGGTATTTACAATAATAGTAATGATTTTTCTATTTAAGTAGATGTAAGTTACTAATCATTTTCTCGTGTTATACAGTCTGCAAAGAATATAAATAAGATTAGTTCCCGGTTTGGGCATACTGCTATATTAGGTATTTTTAGCACTTTTTTTTAAAAAAAATAATCCATATTAACAAATTATGTATTTTAGCACCTGATGATCAAATTATTATTTATGGTGGGCATGATATATCTGTTAAGTACCTTGTTGAGGCTACTCCCAACATGGCGGTTTTAAATACTCAAACAACTCCATTTGAATGGTTTTCACCACAAGTATCATCCAAGATTAGTAAAGTACCATCACTCGTATATCATACGGCAAATTTGGTCGGAAATTATATGATCGTGGCTTTTGGTAATTACCTTTTATCCTTTTATCAATTTTATAAATTTAGTTAAAAAATGATGATTTTTTATTATTAATTATAATGATCTTTATTAAATTTACAGGAAATATCACTCAATCAGATCAATTAGCAAGACCAAATTCTAACATATATATTATGAATATAAAAGATTTCACATGGGTCAACAAATTTGAACCAAATCTCTTATCGACAAAGAAAATTGTTATTTTTGCAATTGGTGGAATTTTTGGTGCTGCGCTTCTTATGGGTCTTGGAATTTTCATTTATAGATGGTATAAATCAAGAAATTTATTAACTTCTGGAAAAAATATCTCTAATAATAATCCGAATAATCCATAAATATCACACGCCTCTTTCTTTTTTGCGATTTGTAATTAAAATCCATATGTTAATATTTTTCCGTATAACGTAATTTAATTTAAGAAAATTTAACATTGAAAATGGATCTTTTATACAAATGATTAATATAAATAAATTGACTTTATGACAAGAACGTTTCTGCTCTTTTTTGAGTTGAACTAACTCAAAATAAATTTAATTTTCTTAAACAGGGAATATTCAAAAAAAAAAAAGTTCATATTTTTTTCTAAGTTATTTTATATTCGTTTAAACTTTTCATTTTCATATTCATTAAAAAAAGAACTTTAATATTTAATGATTTTGTAATGGGAAGTCTTGCCGTGCCGCTTAAAAAAAATCCAAAAGTTAACCGCTTTATTCAAAGTATCTGAATTACAATAAATCAAGTTACACAAACAATTTTGCGTTTATTGGTTAAAGGATTTTGTGCTATAAAAATTAATTTCTAAAGGTACAGTAAATTAAATCCACAAAATAAATAACAGTCAAATGCTGATAATTTGGATTTTTGTTACATCCCTAAATTGAGATAACAAAAAATACAAAATTAGTAATGAATTTCAATGATTAATATAAATTTCACCCCACCACAAATTAATTTTTTTTTTCTTAAACAAATTTTAACTCGTTATTAGAATATTAAGCCCAAGCAAAATAGTTAAACTTTTCACATATCCTAGGATATTTATAATATGGTAAACGCTCAAGAATATATAGAAAAAAATTTTCCTAAAGATGTTAATGAAGTCATTGCTATAGATAAGCAATTAGAAGGATCTTTAGATTTATCAGAATATAATAATCTAACCTGTGTAGACATTGGCATAAACTCTCGATTAACAAGTTTACAACTTGCTCACTCGAGCAGAATTACTTTTATAAGCATCTGTGCTACCGGCATTGATAATTTTTCTTTTTTGGCTTACACGCCTAACATTCATGCAGTTTGTCTGCCTCGAGGAGGAGATAAAATTGGTAGCGCTTCTGGCAATGCTTATTTTTCCAAAGCAATTCGAGAAAGTTGCCAAGAGAAAAACAAATTGCAAAACAGTCTAGAGAAATCAAATCGGCAGATCCAAACCCAACTAGATCAAGAAAAAAAAAAAAATAGTGACAATTCCCAAAGAATTAAAGAGTTAGAGCAACAGTTAGCTAATGTTAAACAAGAAATTCTATCTTTACAAAGTATATTCCAGCAGAAACAACAAACTTTTGATGATCAACAAAGTCAGATAAAAGAATTGTACGATATTACTTTTTCTAATAGTACGTATAATTTCACTAATCTCAAAAAAGACATTATCCGACTTAAATTCCAAGAATTAGCGCCTCAAGTAAGAAATGAAAGCGCTAATTTGGTTCAGTTAATTTCTGAAGCAAAAAACAAAGCTGGCAATTTTTCTTCCATAGTCGATTTGATCTTAGAAACTCAAAAGCAGATTGTACAAAACAGCGAAACACTCAAGCGAGAAAATTTAAGTGGCAAAAAGGAAGCTTATCAAACCATTCTTGCAAGCAGCTTGGCTGACGAAGAGCTGCAAACACTTTTAAACAAACAAACAGAAGTCCTAGAATTAGAAACGCATTTAAAAAGTTTAAAACTGATGTGAACAAAAACCAAGTTTATGTCGAGAAATTGAGTGCAATGAGTGCAATGGATTCGGATAATAATAAAATCCCTTATCGCCTATTAATTCATATTCCTTTTTTATATATGGTTTTATGCAAAGTATTAGCTTCTAATTGCTTTATCACAGGATGAATTTCAAAGTATTCTTGAAGGTTTTTTATAATATTAATATAACAAACACATTTTAGAACAAATGTTACATCTATAGATTATTGATTTACACGTGAATTTAATAAATTAGGAAAACAACTGTAAATTATTTCTTTTCTCTTTTTTTAAAATATTAAATTCAAAGCAGGTTTTGACATTTGATAACTTTCTACAATAATAATATGGTAAAATCTCAAGAATTTATAGAAAGAAAATTTCCTAAACATGTTAACGAAATCAGTACTTTGAAAGACGATTTAGAAGGATTTAGATTTATCAGAATATCCTAATTTAACAAAAATAGACTTGGGACACAACTCTCGACTAACAAGTTTAAAACTTGCTCACTCGAACCGAATTACTTGTATAAGCCTTTTTGATACCGGAATTGATAATTTTTCTTTTATGGCTGACACGCCTTACATACAAACAATATGGTTTCCTCAAACTGGAGACATAATTGATTATAATTCTGGCAAAGTTTATATTGCGAAAGCTCTTCGAGAAAGTTGTCAAGAGAATTACAAGTTTAAGGCAATCGAATCAGCAAATCCAAACCCAACTAGATCAAGGAAAAAAAAATAGAGACAATTCCCAAAGAATTAAAGAGTTAGAACAATCGTTCGCTATTGTCCAGCAGGAAATTCAATCTTTACAAAGCCAAACCCAGCAGAAACAATTGATGATCAACAAAGTCAGATAAACGAATTGTCCAATATATCCTTTCCGAATAATCCGTATTTCATTAAACTCAAACGAAGTTGGATGAGTTAATTTCAAAAGCTAAAAGTAAAGCTGGCAATTTTCTTCCATAATTGATTTAGCCTTAGAAACCCAAAAACAAATTGTAAAAAGCAACGAAACTCCCCAGCGATATATATTAAATGGCAAAATGGAAGCTTACCAAACCATTCTTTCAAGTAGTTTAGCTGATGTAGAGCTACAACATATCTTAAACAAACAAACAGAAGTACTTGATTTAAAAGAGTATTTAGAAAATTTGAAACTGATATGAACAAAAACCAAGTTTATGTCGTGTAATGGATTCAGATAATAAAATCCCTAATCGCTGATTTAATTTATTATTATTATGTGCAATCACTTCAATTACTATTTAAATTAAAGGATTTAACCGCTTGTCGTTAAAATCAAGTTACACAACACTATTAGTATTGTCACACATATCGCTAATCGAGTTTTATTTACATCAGCCACAAATAAAATTATTTTTGTTTTTATTGTTCTCTTTTCTAAAATATAAAGTTCAAAACAAACTTATACTATTCTACGCCATTTGATAACTTTCTACAATAATAATATGGTAAAAGCACAAGAATTTATAGAAAGAAAATTTTATAAACATGTTAACGAAATCATTTCTTTGAAAGATGATTTAGAAGGACATTTAGATTTATCAGAATATCCTAATTTAACAAAAATAGACTTTGGATACAACTCTCGGCTAACGAGTTTAAAACTTACTCACTCGAACCGAATTACTTGGATGAGCCTTCCTGATACCGGAATTGATAATTTTAATTTTATGGCTGAAACGCCTAACATACATACAATATGCCTCCCTATAACTGAAGGAGTTTCTAATTATGATTATATTGCCAAAGCTCTTCGAGAAAGTTGCCAAGAGAATTACAAATTTCATACCAGTCTAAAGCAATTGAATCAGAAAATCCAAACTCAACTAGATCAAGAAATAATGACAATTCTCAAAGGATTAAAGAGTTAGAACAACTGTTCGCTATTGTCCAAGAAGAAAATCAATCATTACAAGGCCAAATCCAACAGAAACAACAAGATATTAGTGATCAACAAAGTCAGATAAACGAATTGTCCAATATATCCTTTCCTAATAATCCATATAATTTCATTAAACTCAAACAAGACATTAGTCGACTTAAAATCCAAGAATTAGCGCCGCAAGTAAGAAATGAAAGCACGAAATTGGTTGAGTTAATTACAAAAGCTAAAAGCAAAGCGGGCAATTTTTCTTCCATAGTTGATTTAACCTTAGAAACCCAAAAGCAAATTGTAAAAAACAACGAAACTCCCCAGCAATATATATTAAGTGGAAAAATGGAAGCTTACCAAACCATTCTTTCAAGTAATTTAGTTGATGAAGAGCTACAAAATATCTTAAACAAACAAACAGAAGTACTAGATTTAGAAGAGCATTTGGAAAGCTTACGACAGAATCTGAACAAATAACCAATTCAGTTGTAATCATAATTATCATTTTCATAATTGCTAGAATCAACTTATAGTTTAATTCACGGCTTCAAATTTCTGTTTAACAAGTAACTAACACAAAGATCTATTGAGTAACCAATTAAACGGTAGCGTGGCTTATTTATGGCTTGGCAGACTGTTTGAGAAATCCCAAGCTTGGTAATTCAGTGCAGTTTATGATTGAACTTGCTTTTGGCAAATATTTCTATAAAATTTCCAAACTGTTAATACTTATCCATATACAGTAATTTATAATTAGAGAATTTTCAAAGATCTAAAAACAATTAAAAATCTTATCATACTTTTGGTGGATTGTAAGCACAGCATTTCTTATTGAATTGGACCTGTATTTTAGAATTTTGAACGTGGATCACAATTAAATTTTTTTTTTTAATATAATTCAATAATTTTAATAGGACCAAAAATTTGGTGCGATTTTAAAAAAAAATTACTGTATAACTTATATTTTTAATGTCAATAAATATCGGTGTGGTGTTCATCATTTTTCCCATTTTTATTACCTCAAATGTTTATTTAAAACATTTGAAAGTTACGTTACTTCTTTTCTATTTCCGTTACCAAGACCTTTTTATTATTTTTAATCAATTTGTTTCATCTTATTTACTATACGAACTCTTCGATAACATAATATATAATTTAAAACATGAGAACATTGTATTATTGTTTGTTGGTCAAAAGATCATGGTGTTGAAGTATTATTTCCTTATCATATTTATGAGGAAGTTATGGAATTTTATATGAAGGATACTTTACTACCATGATTTAAACCAAGACTTTCTATGTAATTTTGGATTGAGAAAAAAGGCGGGAAAGCTGCTCGAAATAAATCAATTTTAAAATACTAGTTCGATCTGTTTATTCGTGATGGGATCAATACATTTAACAATTATTATTCTTCTGGTCAAGCAAATACCTAGTTTTAGGATTTAGGCCGTATGGAGGAGGTAGTCGATGGCATAATACATCACTTCAGGATCGATTTATTTTCTATTGTGAAACGTCAGAGATATCAATAGAAATAAGTCGTGTAACTCCTAGTTGTGCGATTTTGGATTTAATTTTGGTAATATTTTATATCAAAATGTATATTTGCAATATCAAGGATATTATGATACTAAAATTATTAATTCAGGTAGTTTCCTCGTGATTTGTTAAATTCAATTAGTTACTATAAAATAATATAAAAAGGATATTTTATAAACTTCTCATATTAATACAACTATAATTTATACTAACACATGAAAATGAATTTGTTCTGACGCGATACAGAACCCAAAGTTGATATCTGCATGAAATTTTATTTCATTTTATCACGAAAATAAAGTTTTTTTTTAATTTTGGAAAAGAAAATCGTTTATTATTTCACATTATCTAGCCAATTAGTCGTGTTTTTAATAAGAATTTTTCAATTTTCTTAAAAAATGATTCTATACAATTCGAAATGATACCACAATAACTGTAGTTGATTTTTCTTCTTTTTTCATATTAACTCGTTTCGTTCGAATTATTGCGCCATTGGAATCTCGTGTGACACAAATTGCGAGATTTGTATGCGTCCAAATAAATAATAAAATTAATGAAGTTTTCATTTTGTCTTCGCACAGTTATATTGATAAAATCAATTCTTTCGTAAAATATTCCTTTGAAGAATTAATACTGTGTTGGTTGAGAAAATCTTGGAGAAGCGATATAGTTTTATAGATTATTTATAACTTGCGCATGATATTTACGTACAGGTAAATAACACCATTGGCCAATAAATTCACCAATGAGAAAACATGATAGAATAGGCATCGTGGTGAGAGATCCATTCTCGAGACCATAATGAATTTCTTTAAGGCATCAACAATAAAGACCGAAATTAATTTTATTATGCATTATTTGATTTCAAATAAGTATTAAAATTTAAGTTTTTAATTGACATTCATATTACTTAACCAGACAAGAAGGTTCATATATAAACCACCTGTTACATGGAAAGAAATGTTATTTTATTATTACCAAAAAATATTTTGTATGTATGGAATATCTTTGGAATATAATTCATATTCAAACTTTCAATCACATATTAGTTTTTATAAATATTTTTATTTTAACAAATTTTTTATTAGAATTTTATAATTTTAATAAATTATGATTTTTTCTAATTTTAAATAAATTATCTTAGAATTTTATAACTTTACCATATAATATACTTAAAATACTTTTTAAGTTTAAATTTATAATTATCTTTTTTTATGTAATCTAAATATAATAATACTGTATATTTGATAAAAAAAATCAATTTATATATTATTAATATTATATAAAAATTATTACTTCATGAGTATTATTAACCTAATTTTATGTTTAAGTAAATTTGAACCTAATGAATTATTTTATATAGATTACAAAAAGTAATTTACTTTGATCAAAATATTTAAAATATCTTATCTTTAATATTATTTAACTGAAAAAAAGTAAAAAAATTTGTAAGTTAATATGATAACAAAAATGTAATTTACTTTTAAATCATTAGTTTAATCTTGATAAAATTTAGATCTTATTAATTTTAGATGTTATTTAAATCATATAAATTATTAATTTTAACTAAAATATCTAAATTATTCAATAATAAATTAAAAATATAATAAATATGTAAATTATAGATAAAAATCATTAATTTATTTATTAAGTATTTATTTTTCTTGATAAAACTTAGATTTAATAATTATAAATTTGTAAAATGATTTTACTTTAGATACTTATTTTTTAAAAGTATTTAAATTATTTCTAAATATATTAAATTAAAAAAAATAATTAATTAATATATTTAATTATCAAAGAATTTTAAAAATATATATATATAATTTATAATTAAATATTACATTTTTTAAAATTAAAAAAAAACTTAATTTTAGTAAAAAATTTATAATAATATATGCTTAAGAATGATTAATAATTAATAATTATAATACTCAACTCTTATAAATTATATTTATAAATAAAATAGGTAACAAAAGATTTAATTAAGCAAAATAATGTAAGATTTAATTAAATACTAATATTAATACTTTGTCTTTTAGAACTATTTTATTAAATATACACTATTATAAATTATTGCAGCTAAGTAAAAACTATTCTAAAAAAATTCTAAACTGAAAAATTAATATTTCTAATGTTATTCTTTTTTTACGTATTTAATAATTTATTATTTTTATATCTTAAATTTGAAAGAATAATTTATTCAGAGGATAAATTAATTAGAAAATATTTTAACTAGTAATTAATTTGACAAAAAAAACAATTTACCCTATATTTAGTGACTAATTTAACATATAGAACTTATTATAGCAAAAATGAAAAATAAAACAATCATGTAATTTTAAAAAATCATAATTAAACATATAAATATATTGACTTAATAAAATTTACAATTATTTTTTTATTAATATATTATACATAAAATTAATAATTATATGATAATTATAAAAATTCAAAATCAGATTAGTTATTCTATTCCTTTTTTTTGTTGTAAAAGAACCTATATATTGATTTTTCAAATTTAAGATTACTTGATAATTCACTAATTTCATTAAGACAAGAATACATTTGAATTATAATTTAATAAGTAAAATAAAAGACTAGAATTATGAATAGTAGTGATTTTTTCCCTAACAAACTTATTGATCTATTTTATTTATTTCAATATAGTTTAAAAAAATTTTTTTTATAAATAAAAAATTCATAATTATTAAATATATTATTTATTTTTATATATAAGAATAATTTAATTAGATTATAATTTATATAAATAAAAATTAAAATATTTTAAAATTAAAAGATAAAGTTATAATAACTTTTAATCTAAACAAAAATTATTAAATTATCTGTAATAAAAACTAAAAAATATGAAAAAGCAATATAAACTTTAAACTAATTTGTTAAAAATATAACTACAACAAAAATGAGGTTTTTAGGATAAAATTCAAAATAGTACTCAGAAATATTCCTGCCTACCTATAAATCAATTTTAGCTATATAAATTAATTATCGAATTCAAACCTCTAACTCTTTTTGACTTAAATCTAGATGATGATATTGAACTTAACTAAGAATTGGCCTGTCTGATATTAAGAATTATACTGTTTGATATAGCTATTCTAGCCTGATTTTAATTTCAAATAATATATCAAAAAAAATTTACTATTCTATTTGTCTCAGAACTTGTCAAAAATCAAGGAACAAAGTGATGTGATTTGAGCTGGATCTGACATTGCAAACCTAATATGAATAATAACTTTTATGCGATTCTGCTTGCCTCTGAAGAGACCATCAAAAATCAAAGAACAAAGTGACGTAATTTGAGCTGAACCTGATCATGCAAACCTAAAATGTATATCATATGCTATGACTAACCTTAAAGATGTTATATTTAGCTATTATCTAGTTTGCAAATCAAAAGCTTAATGATTATATTCTAACATATTAATAATTTATTCATATATAGAAAATCATTCTAAAGCTATTTTATTTATATAATCCTAGGATAAAAAAATTACACATTTTGACTACTTATATATTAAATCTAACTGCAAAAAAAAGTTAAACCTTTCAACTAACTATATAATAAATCTAACTTTTACTAAAAAACTAACCTCTTGAACACATATTAAACATCAGGGTCTTATTCTGAAGTCTATTAACATATTGAATCATATAATAGCCTCTAATATGAGGATAACAATGATCACCAGTAGGCTTATCACATTCTGATTTCATGTAAAGCTAGCATTTTTTAGCTTTGTAGTATAATCAATAACCTTCAGATTGAGTACAGGTTTTACCACAAGTCTTATCAGAATTATAAAGATAATCACAAATAAAATCCAGTTTTATTTTTCTAAATATATAAATAATTTTAATTAAACAAATCTTTATACAATATAGTAATATATATACTTTTACAATAAGTACAC